GGGCTGCCAGGCTCTGGAATGGACTCCCAAGGGAGGTGGTGCTCTCCCCTACTTTGGGGGTCTTCAAGAGGAGGTTGGATAGATATTTGGCTGGGGTATTATGACCCCAGCACTCGTTCCTGCCCAGGGTAGGGAGTCGGACTTGATGATCTGTTTAGGTTCCTCCCAGCCCTAGAAACTATGAAACTTTGTTTTCATTTGTCCCTTACCACCAGAACGGTCCTCATCTCTACCTTTTCTCAAAGTGCTTATAAACCCTTTCCCTCAGTATCCCACATTCTTATAGGCAGATTATGTCTGTCCTTACTAGTTTTAACATTTGTTTGCCCTGTTTCCATCTTTTCCTTGTTAGCACACTTCTGATATTAATAGATGCAATGATCAGTGCCATTGTGCTTGCTTTAAAAAGCATGTGCCTGTCCCTTTAAGGTTCTCTGGCACTGCTGCTCACAATGGGTGAGTCCTCCTCTGCCCTCACTTTCAAGCCTGTTTCTTCTGCGAGCTGCCTGACTGCCTTTGCATTTAGGAAGGCTTTCATTCTCCAACTTTCATGTTGCTTCCTGCCTCCAGTTCACCACTTGGGCTGGAGCCTGGGGAATTAATGGCGGGAAGCTGCTCCGGCTCCAGCTCATTCCCCTCATTTCCAGTTTTCTTTTTCCTGATTTTCTTCCCTTGTGTTTTCTTCCTTTCCCCTCATTGACCCCTGGGCTCTTTTATTTGTTCCACCTCTGTGTCTTCTGCTTGTTTGATTTCTTCTTTGTCCCTCTCCCCCCACCTCCATGTCTGGGTTTTCTCCTGCTCCCCTTCTGTTTCATCTTGAGCCACCTCAATTACAGATATTACATTCCCTTCTTTCTCCTTTCTCCATCCTGCAGGGGTTCATCCACCATTTCTACTTTATTCTCACCCTTCCCTTCTCAGCAGGCCTGACCTTGCTTGCATAGGCTTTGGGACACCTGCAGAATAGGTGTCCCTTCTACCCACAGCTAGTGCATTTTAGGGATTCCTGGCACTCTGCAGCTCTAGGCCCCTTCCCTTCACATCTGAAATGCACTTATCTGTGGACAGGTGCCCCCGCTCCTTGTCGCATTTGCTACATTGCTTTGGTTGCCCGTGGTATATTATAAAACCCCAGTGGGGCCTCAGATGGATTATCAATGGAAGGTGCTGCACCCCACCTGTGCTCCACTTGTTTGCTGTCAACACAATTCGTGCCCTCCATAACCCCATCCAAATACCATATGTGTCCCAAACTTTCTCTACACACATTACATCTTGCACATGCAATTCCATCCACCTTTCTATGTCTTCTGCCTGTAACAAATCCATATACATTCTTATTATAATCCCTCATTCCCTTGACATTACCCCTGCTGTAAACTATATACCTCTTAAATCCTCCCATCCACATTCCTCTGCATGTTTCTTCCAAAAAATTTCATACCCTTCACTGTTCCAGTCAGTAAACTCCCAAGTCTTTCTGTTTTGGAAAGCAGTCAGGGTGGTGAGATGCTCCATCTGCACTTCCAATATCTCAGACAGTACCTTTTCTCTGAACTCATATCTGCTCATCATCAATCCCATCTGCATCCCATCACTGGTTGTTATTGGTTGTATTCACAGTTTTGATCCTCACGGCATCTCTTGGTGCATCTTCTGTGTCCCACCTTGCCGGCATTCTGTTATGCTCCTGCCACTTTCTGCCTCTTGTCTCACATACCTTCTCCTGCTGTTTCTGCTCTATCTCCCACTCTCCTCTGTTCCTGTCTTCCTTCTGGCCTTGTTCCTCTTCTCATCACCTTCTTTACCATTTCCTCTGTTGTTGTTGCTACTTCTGTTGTTGCTCCCATCTTCTCCATTTTCTTTCTTCTCTGCTTTTCCGATTTTGTCCACCTCTGTATGTCTCTAGACATGTTTTTCAGCTCTTCATTTACTTTTTCATCTCCTGGTTACTTGCCATCACTGCCATTGTTCTGAGCATCAGGTTTCTCTCCTTCACTCCTTATACCCTGACACTCCATTGATCCCTATTTTTTGCCCTTAAAACATTGATCAGACTTTCAGGTAATCACTTGATTTAAGCTCAGGAGCCCAAGAAAATGCTGATGGGAACATTTTTTTTATACTTAAAAAAGGTAGGCAAGTGATCCTTCCACAGGGAACTGGCACTGGACCTGAAGGTACTGAAATACCAGGCCAACACTGGGTGGGCCAGAGCCAGGCCTGACACCCTCCCCTTCGTGCCAAAAAATACTTGACCTTAGCCAAAAGGTTGAGACGCTGATAGGACCTACCACAAAAATAAGTTAGTGCAACCACCAGAATAAGATATATGGTCAGAGCTGTCCCTTGGGTAGGGCAAATCGGGGTGACTGCCCTGGGCCCCACACTTTGGGGGGCCCCGCAGAACCAGGTGGAGCAGCCGCAGACCCTCCTGGAGGGCCTGCCTGGAGCTGGCAACTTAGCCCTGTGCTGTGGAAGAAGGATTCAGCAGCTTGCCACCTCCCCCTGCCGTGCACTGTTGGCTTCATGTCCACTGAAGAGCAGCTCATCCAGGGCACATGAGATCTGCTTGGTCTCAGGCACCAAATTTCATTGCTATAGCACTGCCATACTCTGCCTTTTTGGAGGGTCCCATGGCCCTGTGCAGTGTTAAAAGGGCCCTGCACTCCCCTAGGGCTAGCTTTGTATATGGTAGTGAGCACAGTCCTCCTCAGCACTGACTTTTTTTATCTCATAGTGAGCTACTATATTGAATCTGTTTTGACTTGTACTTCACTCCCACAACTGAGCTTCACTTTTCTTTCCCAGTTCCAGTGATTCTTGTTTCTTCACCAGCCTTAAATGCCTGGCAGACATCACCAAACAGGGCCCCAAACAGTTCATCCAGAATGCCTCTGTTGTCCCCTCGGTCAGCCTGTTGCATATGATTAGTGTGGCCCTGCCCTCCATGAGGTGGGACAGGACCAGGTTGCCCTGTGTCTCATTTGCGTGTACATTTTTGGAGGATCTCAGGACTGGTGACAAAAGCACGTGGTTCCCATAATAAGTGGTGGACTAATAAGCACATGGATCTTTTTGGTAGGGGGGGAGGGAGGAGGGATATCTGGAGTACATACGCATATTGATCAGTGCTAAACTCTGGGGTCACCATGGCTTTAAATGCTGCTGACTCTGCTGGGGCCCAGCCCAATGAACTGTGTGGTGAATCATAAGCCTTTTGTATTTGAACTAGTATGATGCATGGTTTGTACTTTATTTAAGTAAGTACCTCTTGTGGGTAAAGATCAAGTGTAGTATAAGATCAAGTGTGGGGGCATCCAAACCCCAAGACCTCCAGGCTTGGGTCTGCACGTAGGATGCCAATGATTTAGGAGTGTCTGAAATCCCAGGGTGATAGGTCTGGGATGGAAGATGCTCGGTGGTTGTAGCACCATACATGGTGTTTAGAATGATTGAGTTCTGCCTGCTCAATCAGTCTGGTTTTTGGAACAATTGAGTTCTGCTCAGTTGATATAATTTGGAACTGATTTGGCTAATTTGTCCTGGGACACAAAATATATTATTAAAAAAATAATTGTTTGTACTGGATTTAAGTAAGTACAAAAGTGCTGCTTAAAAGCATGCTTATGGAGTACCTGTGCTAAAGTTGCAGCAGTTTCAAAAAAGTTAAAACATACCAGTTCTGGTTGAACTATGTCTATGGGTACTAGTAGTAATTTGCCTATATTTTAAGTTGTGTTTGTTTTAAGGTCAGTGTTTTCAAAAATGCTGCTCACTTTTATGAGCAGGATCTGATAGTAAGGGGGTGAGGGGCGGGAGGGTAAAGGGTTATATATAACCATGTATCTTATTCAGATGGGTTGCACCTGGCCCCCTCAGATTAATTTTCCTTGCTGCAGCAGTGGGAGGGAGACAATTTCAAGATAAACCTCCAATAATTAGATTTTATACCTGAAAAATTACAACAAAATTTCCACATATAAAATCTAATTATTGGAAGGTTGTCTTATATTCAGGGTCATCTTAGATTTGGGTAAATATTTTCATTCTCCCAAATAAGGCAGTTGATCATGAATTCCAGCAGCAGGTCTCGCTGCCCAGATCCTTAGGTTGAGAAGTAAAATGAGTCTTTATTTCCTTCTGCCAGAACTTCCACCATCTTTCCTAGGATAGAAGAACTCAGACACTTCAGCTGAGGATAAAGGAGAGCGTTGTACTCCTTTTTCACATTGGGGTTACTCTGTGAATCCAAGCTGTCCTTTACATCTCATCAGTCCTAGCTCCGATTTACAGTCTTCAGCTGTATGATCTTAGTAGGACTTGTTCCATGTATAAGAGGAAGGTAGGCAGAGTCTGGCACACCTGAACCTGAACTACAGCCAGCATAAAAAACCTGGCAAAAGAACAAGATGAGGAATGGAACCGTTTGGTAATTTTGACATCATCCCAAAACAGGGATCAGGTCTAGAAATAAAAGGGAAATCAGGTATATGGTAAGAAGACAGTTCCAGTCTTTCTCTGATGCCTCCCAAAATAATTCATGACCCAAACAAAAAAGTTGTTATATTTATCGCCCAAATTCTCTTCTTTAAGCTTTCAGATCTCAGAATTGCATGCTGTTCAACTTTGTTTATATAGAGATACCAGGTTCTGTGTCTTTTGTCACTGCAATTATGGAAAGCGTTCCCTCCTCCCTGCCCTTTCTTATGGTCTCACAAAATAAAAAGTTACTGTGAGGAAAGCAGGGGCGTGAAATTAAATGCAATGAAATTCAAGGTAGTTTAGCCCACTTTCATTGAAGACCAAGCCACCCTGCATGTATTGTTCGGTAAGAGTAAGCACATGGGCAGCTTAGGTGAGTAGCACTGTTTGCTCATACCATATTTTTCCTCACCATAACCCTTGGTTTAATGCTCCTATAAGTAACACCTGATGCACCTTTAAAAAATGAAGAATTATATATTCAGCCATTCCGTGTTCTCTTCTTTCTGTTCCAGCTTGTCCAGCAGGGATGTTCAAGGCCAACCAGGGGGCAGGGATTTGTGCCCAGTGTCCCACCAACAGTCGCTCTACAGCAGAGGCCTCTCCCATCTGCACCTGCCGCAATGGCTACTACCGCGCTGAGTCCGACCCGCCGGAGGCAGCGTGCACCAGTAAGTAGTAGTGTCACAATATGCATAGGCCCAGGTCCTCATCTGCTTCTAACTCTAACAGCTATGGGTTGTACCTCAGGAGTGCGACCCAGTACCAGGTGAGAGATGTACAGCTCTCTTGTTCTCTCAATGCATAGCCTAGCTTGCCCTCAGAGATCAATCCTAAAATAATCTGCTTAGACATATCACCTCCTGAGAAAATAATGAGTAGCTTTCACCCATCCTAATCCACACGGGAAAGTACATAGTTTTCTTCTGTTCTTTCAATCAGAGATCCTTATGGACTTAGATCAGTATTCAGGTCACTCAACATAGAAGAGAAGTTCCTATCTACCTTTGTCCAGATAGCCTAGAGGCTAGGCCACTTGCCAGAGGAGTGGGAGTCCTATATTCTAGGCCTTCTTCAATGGGAGTGGGTTCATACCCATATCTTCCATGTCCCAAGATAGTGTCCTAATGACTGTTGAACACACAAGCTAGAAACAGCACTGGGTACACAGGCTGGGAACATGGGCCAGAACACAGGTCTTCTGGCCTCCAGGGCCAGTGCCGTCCTTCCTGAGGCACAGAGTCATACTCTCTAGCCTGCTCTCCTAGCTCCATGGCTTTACCTCTTGGCTGTGCAAGGGGAAACTTCAACAGGGGCAGAGGGTGCTTTTAGTTCTGCCTAGCCCATGGCCAGCTGGTTAGGGCACTGTGATGGGGAGCAGAAGATGTGCATTTGGACCCCCCACCCCATCTGAAGAGGGTTTATACTCTGGGCATGTGCCTTAACCGCTAGGCTGTTGTGCTAAGAGCTGAGTGATTCTTCCACCTCTTTGTCAAGAAGTGCAAGTTGCAATCTTTCTGCGGCTAAAGATCGGGGAATTTGCCTAGAATATGGATGTTTCCTAGGGTGTATTAGGATTGCCACAGAAGGTAAGTGAAAGTAGGCACCTCAGTGGAGCACTTCTGTGCAAGCTTAAAAGGCTAGAATGGAGACACATAAGGAACCTAGAGCTCCTCGTGTGTTGTTAGCTGTTGCACAGAGTGCAGTAGGATTGCATTTTGTGATTTAAATGCCTAAAAGCTTTGTAAGTGTTTCACAAAAGTGGATTGAGACTTGGTGTGCTAAGGAAATACAGAGCTCTATGATATTCTCAACTGATGGCTGGGGGAGGGAAAACGTTCATTACAAAGCTCAGGGCTGGATGTTTAGAAGGCTGAACCTAGGGGACTTAGCACTGGAATTGGAGTCCAGCTCCCTTCTCAATAGGCACATATATCATAGCATCTCTTATCAGTGAGCCATGTCATTTTACCTCAGCTGATGATCTGTTCCACAACTAGGCTGTGAAGGATGGGCCAAGGGGTTTTAAACTGTGTCTGTGACACAACCCCTTATGAGCCCATAGAGATGGGAGGGGTACACATTAGAGGCTGCCACATAACAAGCATTCAGGGGTCCTAAACTGCCATATGACATGACACCATTGTGCTGTGTTTTAATGGAAATGTTTCTTGTGTCGTAACACCACTAGTAATCTTGTTATCAAAGTCTGGCATGAGCAGATGATGCTGCATCATCTTCTGCATCTATGCTAGCAACTGACTTTTGTGTGATACCAGCTGGGTGTGCACCAAATTATGAATAATGGGACAGATCCCAGCTCACGTCGACAAGACTTGTTTGAATTGATACTTTTTAGTGGCAGCGTCTGCGATGGGAAGCAGGTACTCCTCAAGATAAATTAGAATGTGAGGTTATCTACCATTACTGTCTTGTTCAGGTTATCTACCATTGCTGTCTTGTTCATAGACATGTTGACAAAATATTCTTTTGTAGGGCACAGAGTATGTTAAGTGTTGGTATTCTACGTGGCTTTATGTGAAATAAATCAGCTGTCTGCTGTAATCAGGCTGGCATGGCAACAGCTAACTTAAGTCTCCTTCTCCATTAAAAACAAAAAGCAGGGAAAAAATACTCAAAAAGCAACACCAGAATAATCAGTAAAGAAAGAACCCATTCCTAACCAGCAGCACTCTTCTGTTAATTTGAAAATATTTGCCTACCGGTCAAAATGTCTACCGGAAGATGCCATCTAGGCCTTTGGAGTAGCTCATCAAGTATTGGGAAAATAAATTTGAGCGCAGTAGCAGATAGGGGTGAGAAAAGGCACCCCCCTCCTCTTTTTTGAAAAAACATGTAATTAGGTAATCCACAGGTCAGCGTGTGTCACATCCTCACTTTTGTGCCTGTTCCCCAATGTATGTATATTTGTTGTAGCTCTAGCATAGTGGATTGGGCTGTTTGGCTACAAATGGTTTTTGCTCTGTAAGTCCTCATTCCTGTATCTGGTAGGACAGACATAATGGTGGCTGTGCCTGGGAGACTTAAAAGACTTTATTGCTGGCACGTGTGGATGGAGCAGAGTTGCAGGCATTTTATTTATTTCTGGTACAATAAAATAATTGAGAAGTTAAAAGTGGACTTTTTTGTCCTTGCATCCACCCCTCCACCCTCTTTTCCAACAACTTGTACTTGTTTAACAAGTGCAGCATGGGCGTTAGACTGTATTTCTCATCTGAAGCTCTTTAATGAGAACACGATTTTGATTGGGCTGTGATCGTGCTATGCTGGGTTTAATGTACTAAAAATACATTTCCTAAGAGGGGGTGCACATTTCCAGTGAGTTCACACTGGGAATCAGCATGTATTGAAGACAGTGACTGAGCACACCTGGTTATCCCAGTGCTTCTCTATATACCCAGCATGTGTGGGTATAACCATACAGAGTCCTACCGTAATGCTTCTATCTGCTGATATGCAGGAGAGGCTCAGGAATGTCTAAAAATATGCATATGAAATAAAGGATTAATTTAAATATTCTGCCAGATCACTTCAGCAGTAAGTGGCAGAGGGAGAACGGAGGCAGGTAGAACAATTGTAAATAAATCTATTTTTTATTGCATCTTGTTACATTGCTGATTTACAGTATGCTACACCAGAGGAGTACTGTATAAAAAAGTCCATTTGTTGATTTTTATTTCTCCTCATTAAGGCTTAATTTTAAAATGTTCTAATTTGAGGTGCCAGCTGTTCAATTTCAAAGTTGTTACATGTCATAGGAGTAAATAATATCATGTATCTGTAGATGCTTCTGTTCACTGGTGCAATAAAAATGTGTCTGCGTCTTTCCAAAGTATTTGCTCCTAGGTAATTCTCTGCAGCTGCGCGAAGCTTTCCTGCACTTTGTCTTTATTAGTTGTTCTTTTAACCCCAGTTAATCAGAGAAAGGGGCACTGTCGAGATTAAAACTGTGAGCCAGATCTTCAGCTGCCGTAGATCAGTGCAGCTCCCTTGACATCAGTGAAGGCTGTCTGTGCGACTTCAATATAGCTATGCCACTTGATGCCAGCTGAGAGCATCCAGGCCATTTCCTTGATTTATATAATAATGACACTTTACATGATTGAAACAAGAAGAATATCTAAATTCTAATCTCCTCTTCACTTTCCTGTTTAATAACTTTTTAGATTTCCACTTTGCTCAGGCAGTGAAGCTAGACAAGCCTCTATACCCCACCCGTCTGAATCCACAGGGCACTGGGCTGTTCCATCATAGGCTGGAGGTGATGTTATTTGAGGCAGGCTGGCTGGGTGCTCTTAAGCCAACCTCACCTCCTGTAATGAGTTAACACCAGCATTTTTCAACCCACTGAGCTTTCCTGTTAGGGTCCCCCAGGGTCTTCAACCCAGGCCTGCTCCCTACATACAGTCAATTCCACAGGGAGATGGGTGTGAAACAGGGTGTGCCTCACTGCAGAAAAGCAGAGGAAGGAGTGTGAACCTAATTGCCTCTCCCTCCCCACAATTAGTCAGTACCCCCTTCTCCAGAAAACAGCAGCTCCTTGATCATGTAGGCTGGCAGCTTCCCAGGCACTATCTGAGATGCAGCGTCCAAGGAACCCGAACTTCAGAGAGAAGGAAGAACCCTCCTCTGAACTCAAGGGCTAGATCTTAGTCCCTCTACTAGGCAACCAGTTGGACTTAGGAGTTACCACTGTTGTCCTTTGATGCCCAAAGGATGCACAAAGGTTGTTCTCTGATGCTCCAAGGGGAGCTACCAAACCTTTGGGGAGGAATGAATAGCTAATAGCTTAGTTCTCCCCCTCTTCAGGACCAAATACCCCAGCTTATGAGCATGCTTCCACTATATCTAAAACAGGGGGAGGGAAAATGACTTGTGACAGACAACTCAAATTCAGTGGGGTTTTTTTTTTTTATAAAGGAAAGCCTTACATTAAGTAAGGTAGGGGTTAAGGAAGTAGGTGAAAAAACATAATTATCTTTTAAAACGCTGCCCGTGAAATACAGCTCTGAGAAGCATGTGTGCAAATATATACCCTGTTACATCTCTGACCACATGAACCCTTTCCATTGTCTGCTGGAAATGAATTGTTTCAGGCATCATCTTTCTTTCTCTCTCGCATTCTCGCTTTCTTCCTCTCTTAGCATTTTTATTCATTTAATTTATCATCTGATGTTTACTGCCAAGGGTACGAAAAGGCTGGCAGCATTAGCTACCCCTTCAACATAATGCACTGTGCAAGATTGCCCCACCAAATCAAGATCTGAGCAAAGTGAGAAAAGCAGTTTGCTAGAAAATCCTCCAGCCAAAATATCCTCCCTGTTAACTTGTTGTGGTTCCCAGCACTCAACAAATTGGTTGTCAGTTTCTCCTCTATAAATCATTTTTAGGAGGATTTTAAGAACTCAAACGTGAGAATTTGTTGTGGGTATGGGTATGAAACTGGGGGGGAGGGAGGGGAGGGAGGAGGGTGTTCATTAGCAGGGACCACAATTAAAACACTTCAAAAGCAGAACTCGATAAGCTCTATTTAAGTTGGGGCCTGACATCAGTAGGAGCTTTGTCATTGACCTTAGTGGGAGCAGGAACATTAACACTGAAGGCAAATATTTATTTTATGATAGTTCCTGAAGGCCCCTGTCAGAATTTG